CTCTCTCACACTCTCTCTCACACACTCTCTCTCTCTCACACACTCTCTCACACACACTCTCTCTCTCACACACTCTCTCTCACACACTCTCTCTCTCACACACTCTCACACACTCTCTCTCTCTCTCACACACTCTCTCACACACTCTCTCACACACTCTCCCACACACTCTCTCACACACTCTCTCACACACTCGCTCTCTCTCACACACTCTCTCACACACTCTCTCTCTCTCACACTCTCTCACACACTCGCTCTCTCTCACACACTCTCTCTCTCTCACACACTCTCACACACACTCTCTCTCTCACACTCTCTCACACACTCTCTCACACACTCGCTCTCTCTCACACACTCTCACACACTCTCTCACACACTCTCTCTCTCACACACACTCTCTCTCTCTCACACACACTCTCTCTCTCTCACACTCTCTCTCACACTCTCTCTTCCATCAGGGGGGGCATCGCTCTGGCTCTGAACAAGCTGTCTCAGTTCCTGGAAGAAGCTCAGGTGACGCCTCTCTTCCTCTTCTTCGTTCCTGACGCTCTGAACGACCGGCACCCTGAGGTGCGGCGCTGCATGCTGGACGCCGCGCTCTCCGCGCTCAACACACACGGAAAGGTACGCTGCGCATCTCTTTCAGACAAGGGGAACAAGGACTTGGAGCATTTACCTTACAATTTTATTCTATTATTTTAAAACATTTTTTCTACAAATTAATTTGATTATTTTACACATTTTTGTAATTATTCAGTAAGATTTTTCTTGTTAATTTAGACAGGTATTTATTATTTATTTTAGACAGGTATTTATTCTTATATTCAGGCAGTTTTTTCTTATATAAGCAGGTATTTTTTAACAGTTACTTTATTATTTTACACCTTTTTTTTATAAGCAAGCCATTTTTTTTGCGCAGTTTTTTTTTATCAGGCATGTTTTTTTTTTCACATTTATTTAATTATTTCCCACATGTTTCTTTAATCAGGCAGGTTTTTTTTTCACGCACAAGACACAAAGTAAGGCACACCTGGAATGATGAAATGACAATCTCGCACACAAAATAAATAATAATAATAATAACATAAACCCACCTCGCAATAAGACCTGAAACAACGTGTTCGTCGCTAAGTAACAGAACATGTATTTTAATACACAAATCTGACCCTGTATCTGCTTGATGTTCCAGGACAACGTGAGCTGCCTGCTGCCGGTGTTCGAGGAGTTTCTGAAGAACGCTCCGCAGGACGCCAGCTACGACTCCGTGCGTCAGAGCGTCGTCATCCTGATGGGGTCCCTCGCCAAACATCTGGATAAAAACGACCCCAAAGTCAAACCCATCGTGGCCAAGCTCATCACGGCTCTCTCCACCCCGTCACAGCAGGTAAACAACGGACTCTTTTCAATTCAAAGCCAACTTTATTGTCCATCTTTCAGTTTGTGTGTACAGAGAGATCGAAATACCGTTTCCCACAATCTTGAATACAAAAATACAAATATATATAAAAATATGTGTACAAATATACAGTCCTCAAAGTATTGGGTTAGTTCCTCTCGTGTGTTTTCCTGTTCTCTCTCTTGCCACCCTTCATCCTCTCTCTCTCCTCCGCCCCCCCAGGTGCAGGAGTCTGTCGCCGGCTGCCTGCCTCCTCTAGTCCCGGCCATCAGAGAGGACGCTGCGGGGATCGTGAGGAATCTTCTGCAGCTGCTTCTGGAGAGCGATAAGTACGCCGAGAGGAAAGGAGCCGCGTACGGACTGGCCGGACTGGTGAAAGGTCTGGGCATCCTGGCCTCTAGGAGACGAGCAGGACATCAGTGAGCCACTGAGACGTGCCCAAAGGGCCAAC